CAGTTCTGTGGAATTACACCTTTGCGGCTCGTGGCAGATGTTCGCTTCCTGTTGTTGACGAAAATATTACTGGCAGATATAACTTTATTTCTGATTGCGAAATATTAGCTCAGCTATATTTGTTATTAAAATATTAGCGTCAGCTATAATTATGAATATGTTTCGTGTTAACTTATATACACAATACATGAATTTATGTCCTGGTTCGAAAATACCAATAATAGTGACGCTATCACTGGAGATAGTTATGTAGAATTGTCATACGAATAATCGCCAAATGCAATAAAGGAAAAAACGAAAAATTAAAAAACTGAAAAGGGTAGTAAAGCTGAACCGAGAGTAGGATCTATTATCAAAATCAAATCCGTTGAAATAAAATTGCGTCCTGATGAAGGTATGCTTTTAAAGGAAGATGAAAACAGTATTCTGTAGACTATGTTGTATGAGCATAAGAAAATTTTTGAAGATGTCGTACTACCAATACCGCATATTGAACATCACATAAAATCAGAGAGGCATGCACCTATTTCGTCGCCACCTTACCGAATCTCGCCGGCAATGAAAAATAAATTAAAGACTGAATTAGAAAATATGCTGAAAAAGGGCATAATAGAGGAAAGCGAATCACCGTGGTCATTTCCGGTTGTACTAATACCAAAAAAAGATGGCGGAGTGAGACTTTGCGTGGATTATCGGCGATTAAATTCAATTACCACGTCAGATACATATCCACTACCGCGAATGGATGACTTGCTTCATGCAGCAAAAGTAACACCGTTCACGTCTACGATTGATTTGAAAGCCGGCGCTGCAACAAGTTGATGAAACCAAAACCTTTGTTTTGAAAACTGACGCAAGCGATTATGCGTTCGCAGCTGTTTTACTGCAGGGGGAGAACAAAGAAGAACACCCAATTGAGTTTGCCAGCTTTTGCTTCCGGCAGAGAGAAATTACTATACAACGAAACGGGAAGCACTGGCCGTAGTTTGGGCCGTAAAGAAATTTCGTGGCTATATTGAGGGAGCAGAAATTAAAGTATTGACTGATCACTAGCCGCTTAAATGGCTGTTTAGTTTGGAAACTCCTACCGAACGCCTTGCCAGATGGACTTTGCAACTACAGACTTATAATTTGAAGCTGGGGTACACAGCAGGCAAACAAAACATTGTTGCAGAHATGTTATCACGTCCACCGTGTTTGGCCGAAAACCATTCTAACACAAATTATTTTGAGATAGATTTTCCTCGCAAAAACGCTGAAGAATTCAGAAAGGAGCAGTTAGAGGATGACGAAGAGAAGGGCATCGTAGAATCGTTTGAAAAAGACGATGAAAACGTAACCAGACATACTAGTCGAGGATACATTATGGTAAATGGCGTGCTGCACCGATTCTGTTCAGACGAAGATTCAGAAAACGGTCAACTTGTACTCGTAGTACCCAAAACTTTAAGAGAAACGGTTTTAAAGAAATTTCATGCAGATCCAACTGCAGGACATTACGTTCTGGAATGCGTACGGAAATTGCTTAACATGTAAAATCATGCATTGAATGTAATAAAAATAGCAAGCTCGATTATAAGCGAGTTTTAGGGTTTCATAGTGGTGAGCGAGTAGTACTTTTATCATATGTTTTGTCGATTAAAGACAAACTACGAACACTGAAACGATTCCTCGCCAGCCAGCAGTGTGAATGTCCACGATAACCTAGTTGAAACATCTCTTTTATTTACTTGGAGTGTATAACTATTGGAATTTCCATGAGCAGCAAAATAGTAAGTAATTTCCTTACCGTCTGCGGGCCAACTGCCAAACGACGAATTAAACGATTCTTCGATCGCACATTAAGTCGATAATTTGTAGACAATTGACGTGCCCCACGGTTTTATTTTAGTCTAGTCTATGCATATATTTATAATTCCCACGACTGTATCTATTTTATTATTTTTTGGTTTTTATTACATTTATCTTAAACATTGCAATGTATGTTTAAAATAAAACCGTTTAACTTAAAAAGTTTTTTTTACCTATTTTTATTTTCTAGTTTTTAGTTTTTATTTCGCATTCTATTTAATTCATTTAGTGCTTCATTATTGCAAGGTTTCTTGTTCGTTAGTTTATTGCAGTCCAACTTCTCTATACRTAGTCCCTGCAAAGATCTTACTCTACTAAGACCCACCTAGGCTTGATCTTCTTCAAACAGTTTTGCACCTAAGTATATTGACCTTTTATTTGATACCCATATTGGTGTAATTGCTAAAAAATTGTTACACAGTACAACAGCTAATCTGGGGGGTGAGAAATTCCAAGTATAGTAAAACCCTCAAAGGGTTTGGTGTTCGTATGTGTCAGTTTTTTTTAGGACCTTTTAAATTTTTTCATCATGTCCCCCCTTTTGTTTCACTACAGTTCGGGGGGTATGGGGAGGGAGGGGGATAAAAAGTAATTTGCGAATTAGTTCACACCTGGGGCTTTCAGGAAAGCCCTCAACCTCCCCTCTATCCCCACCAGGGGCTGAGCATTAGCCATCTTAGATTTCAATTTGGCATAGTAAATTGTATTCTGCTTCTTGAGACCTTTCATTTGATACCCATGTTGATGAGATTGATAAGACCTACGTTATCCGCCATTTTGTAGGGACAGCCATCTTGGATTTAAATTTTTAATGATAATGAATAAACATAATTGTATTGTCACCAAAACCCAAAGTGTATACAAAATTTAATTTATTAATCGGTTGACAGGAAGAGGGTGAAATTTGAATTACTAAATTTGATCCAAGAATGAATAATAAAACAAACGGGGTGAGCTAAATAAAACCATTTAATAAAAAAGTACAAACCAACAAATCTGAAACCAGCAGGTCCGCTTCAAACAGTGTCAAGTAACCAAAGGTTTGAGATCATCATGACTTCTTTGGTTTACCTCGTACTGCGACCGCAAATCGTTGGATACAAGTCGTAGAAGGCTTATGTAGGCGCTGGGTTGAGCTATTCGCACTGAAAGAGCTTCAGCAGAAATTTGCGCAACCAAAGTTTTAAACGAAGTTTTTTTGAGATTTGGTGTACCTCGTCGTATACACGCAGACAATGGCAGCCAATTCATTTCAGCTGTAATGCAAAAACTGGCTTACTGTTTGGGAATCAAGCAAACGTTTACACCACTTTATCACCAGGAGGCTAACCCCGTTGAAAGAAAAAACCGTGACCTTAAAAGTCAACTTTCAATATACGACAATAAAGATCATATTTCATGGGATGAACGCTTACCAACCATAAAATACCATACGGCAAAATGTGATAGCACTGGTTTTTCACCAGCCTATCTTCCAATTGGCAGAGAATTAAGAAGCCCTCTCGAAACACACTACGATTTAAAAAGAGTAATCGAAGCAGAAAACTTTATACCACAAATATCAAACGAAATAAAACTTACACCGATAACTTTGCTCAATTAGACTATTTAAGTAACTTACTCATTATTTGAATGCGTTAACTGTAATCCTAATATTTCACGTGGCTCAATTTGGACATTTAAGTACCCTGTTAATTTGAATTCAGATTCATTCGAATTGCGACCAATAAAGATTACGCATCTAAATTCTAAGCTGCGTTTTATATTTTTTTGGAAGCAACGATTAATATAACTCTTGGACACAAGTAAACAGCATTGGCTCTTGTGGCTAGTTTTATTGATCACAGTCAAGTAGAATCACC